AAACAGGTACACTGAAATTGTAGTTTATTTTTATTGTAGTGTAGGACCTACAAACATTTGTCTTTTTCTTTTACCCGTGACCCCATGTAAGGCTTTGCAACCCCCCCTGGGGTTGCAACCCACAGGTTGAAAAACACTGGTCTACAGTAAATTGAGGAATTACTGTATTTATTCCATTAACATAACTCATTAATGAAAAATTTTCAGTATGAAGGAATTATTTCTGTGATAAAATATAGATTGTCTTCTTAGATCATAATAGTCATTGTTTCTGAAAACAGTATAGCCCTATTCAATTTCTGTATCAAAATGGACAATAAAAAAAAAAAAAAAAACATTTGATAAAGCCACGACAGAAAATTTGCAGGAGTTTTGAGAAGCTGTAATAAATAAATGGCTTGTTATACAAGTCACAATATCCTCATATATAATATTCTGGATCTTCTAGTTAAGGAAAGCATATAGACAAATTCATTTGGACAGTAGATTGACATGGATCCAATATGATAGGATCACTTTAAATCCAGTTTAAAACATCTGTGTTGTGAAAGTAAACAGTTTTTGAGGATTAACAAGTTTCAAAATGTCAACAGACACGATGATTTCTAGAAAAATTTAAGGAGCATACAAATAATTTCTGTCATGATTGAGATTTTGTCTGTATATACAGTAGAGCATCAATTATCCGACCCCCGATTAACCGTCACATCGGTTAACCGACCGTTCAGTTCAGTAAATTTCAAACGTCTGCTAGTGATGTGGCACGCGGACATTTGAAATTTACTGAACTGAACGGTATTTGGCTATGTCTTGGCTACTTTAATATTATTTTTGTTAAATTTTTGCATGTTTTAGCTAGCATCAATGGCTTGACCATTGAAGGGAGGCCAGTATTTAAACGAGACTTAATTTTCTAATTATGAGTGGTTGTTTGTTTCGTGAGCAATAAAATAATTTTAAAATAATTTTTAACGATACAATAGCGACGATTATTATTTTAAAAAATTTGTTAGGCTAAACATCGATGAAAATTCAACACGAAGTTGGTTAATAGTGATATACTAATAAACTAATTACATGGGATATCCTAATATACTATACTAATAATGTATTTTTTTCCTTCTTTTCGGTTATCCGATTTTTTCAGTTATCCGACCAACCTGAGTCCCCAATTGAGTCGGATAATCAATGTTCTACTGTATATTACTTAAATGATTGTTGCAAGTCTATTGCATACATCATTGTTTTATAATTACAATTCTTAGCTTGTATGTTTTTATCACAAAAGCATCAAATACACATAAAAAGCCTGTTTATTATATTTAGGAAGTAATCTACAGACATTATTAAAATATAAAAATTTACTTTTTTCTTACAAACTTTTTCTGATTTAAAAGAACATTTTAAAATACAAAATTTTATAGCAATTTGGAATAAACAATTTTTATACAGATTTATAAATCTGTTGCTTTAAATGGAATGTTTTAAAACTTTTTAGGAAAATTTTTGTAGTATGAACAACATGAATGTCTAATAGTTGCTTTTTTTTACATTTTTATCAATACAAAACTATAAAATATATACAATTTTCTGCTTTGACAAGTTTAAAAATTTCTTAAATATCATCAGTAAAATCACTGTCATATTAAAAAAAAATACTTAAATAACCTGAACATATCTTGAGCATCATTAGTTTTTACAAATTGAAAAAAAAACTTTTTTTTATAATAAACTTCAGAAATTTAAAATGGATTTAATTAGAAATTAAACAAGTATTTAGATATAGAAAAGTATATATAAAGTTTTTTTTATGTACAACATTTACAAATTTCTTAGAAAATATAAATCTAGAAAAAACAAGAACATACACAATTTACGCTTATTACAACTTAAGTACAGCATAGTGGAAAAACACGTAACCATAAACTGAACATATACACAGTTTTTTGACAATTTATCAAGAAAACATATTGAGCACAAGTTTCTTTTAATATTCAAAATTAGGAAAAAGTTTATAAAAAATACAAAAGTATATAAAATACAATAGAACAACCTAAATTATAACAACTCTAGATAAAATTGACTATTGCTTAAAAGTTGTCTAATATTGTCTTCATTATAGTTGCATTAATTCTTTTTTCTTAATACTGTGAATAAATACATCAAAATAAATATTGAGGTGTTTAGTCACTGTATTAAATAATTAAAATTACAAAATATAATGATAAATAATCATTAGTGTGTAAATTAGTTCATAGTGTAGAGATCATTGTTTACAAATTTATGTCAAATTAATAGTACATTTCTTCATGAAAAACTTTTTAACTCGAGAAAAATAATCTATCTTAAGACAAACTAAATTTCATTAAGTTTGAGTTGATCAATTTAACAGACAAATAAATGGCTATATTATTGCTTGTAAATTTCGGCATATGCATAATCGGTAAATATCTTTGCTTTTACATGACAAATGCATTTGTGGTATTCAAACCAGTCATAAAATTACAAAAACTAATTCCAATTTTTCCTTAATTATACAGTCAACAATCAAAATTTTCAATAAAACACAATTATATGACTAGGATAAAAAGACTAAAACTAAAAATTTCTCAGCTGTAAATTTATCCATCTATAATTTTGTGGGTATTTGGTCTAACAAATGAAAACATTTAAAGAAGGAAAATGACAATTCAACAGACATCTATTTTTCATATTTCTAAGGAACAACACATTTAAAGTTATCAATCTGTCAATTAAATATAAAAGGAATCATAATATATAATGAAGATCAAATTCTGAATTGAGATTTCTTCATTTTAAAGTAAGTTCAACTTTATATATTTTATTGAACTTGAAAAAAACAATCATCATAAGAATGTAAAATTAGAAAATTTCTTGAATTTTTTTTTTCAAAATTTTTACTTATTTTTGTTGCATTCATTTACATATTACACTACAAATGAGTATGTTACATGCATCTCCAGAAAACCATATAAAATATGAATATTTTTATTATCAGTTGTGTTTATACTTGTTAAAATATTCATTTTTGTTAAGTACATAAACCACTACAAAATTTAACCCATTGAGGAGTTGTAAAAAAGTTTTGGCACTTTCAATTAAAGATAAAATTTTATAAAAACATTATATATTTGACTTTTATTAAACTCATTTTTTGAGTTTTGTTTATCATTTTAGTCTTATTCTAAATTAAGTTTCAAAAGGAAAAAAATTATATAATTCTATGATTAATGCAATATTTTATTGTCAAAAGATTTGAAATTAAAGATTTTATTTTAGTGACCATTTCATATTACTGAAAGAAAAACAAGTTCACAACTATATGTGAACAATAAAGAAGAGAAAACATATTCAATAAGTCTCTCTTAGGAATAAAAATGAGTTTATAGATTAGATTTTTCTTTCCTCAAATGTAATCTCAATCTGACAACAAGAACTAGTACTAATGAGCTTAATTGCATATTTCATTTGGAACACAGGCATTAAAGTTTAATGGAGACTTGTTTGATAAATGCAGTCAAGTACATCATTACCAAACATTTAAAATCATTAGAAATTCTAGGAAGATTATTTAAATGCATTTTAACCCAGATGAATAATCAAAAATGTTGGCTCACTGAACTGTTAATAAAAACAAGTGTTTATATCTAAAAATTTTTACTTGTTACAAAAGCTGAATTGAAAATCACTTTCTAGCATATCTGGGTGTTGTGGCATATCTAAAAATTTATTATATGCCAGTTAGGATGTGAGCTTAATAGACTAGTACATTGATTTTTAACCTTTAAGTCAAGGGTTGTAAATCATCATCCAGTTTCAATTATATTTTGTTTACATTATAAGCATTAACGAATTTTTCATTTTTGATGCATGTTTAATGCAGAGAAGCAATTTTCATTTTGTCACCATTGCTTATCTGTATAATAAAATTTTAATTATTTAAAAAGTAATTAGGCCTATATATTTATAACCTAATAAGTAATTTATTGAAACTTTTGTTTAAAGGTGAAATTAATCATAGAAATATGTTAAAAACTGAATTAAATATGATATAAGCCTCTAACAATTGTTTTAAGTTTGGTTACCATTAATATTATGTTAATATTTTCATTCTGAAAAAAATTAAAATATAAATTAACTAGTTAATTTCATTGTCCATTACCAAGATTTTTGTGGAAAAGTAAGAAACATATTTATTCCTTAAGCTCTAGATCACTGCAATAAATTTAATTTAAGAAAAACATTCTTATTGATCATTTTATGAAGGAAGACAAGATAGATTAAAGATTTATAAAAGTTAACAATCTTTATCTGATTTATTCAACAAGTGAAAAATTTGTCAAAATTTATGAGAAACTTTAAAAATTATCTCCAAGAAAAAACCCCCTGTAACAAGCTTAGCCTTAATGCAAATAAAAATATTTGAATAATCTTTACATTAAATGATACAATCATTATCTAAAATTATCTCCAAGTCTAAATATGCAACTTTGTTTTCTAGATAATACTTCAGGTCACAGTAGAATGATTAAGTTACTCAATTAATCATATTCAAATATTTGCAAACATTATTATTATTATTATTAAAATAAATCTCATATTCATTTATTAGAATTTCTCTCTCTCCTCCTCAAACACAGAATTTGGAATTATAAAGTGCATCTTAAAAATTACATTTACAAGATAGAATTATGTTAGCTCTTGACCAATCCATACCAAGAAATCATAATTATTCTTTTGTATTTATAAGGTCATTTTAAAATAATTATATGAGAAGTAATTAAATCTTGGGCCATTTGTGAAGTACCAAAAAAAAAAAAAAAATATATATATATATATCATAGCACTCAAGCAACGAGAGAAATTTTTTAAATGGAAAAAATTCTGATTTATAATTTTAGTTTTCTTTCTGTCTGACAAAGTATATTTTACATATTTAGCTAACTCTTTCTTTTAAAATCTTAAACTGTTCTCTTTCACTTCGTTTGTATACTTCATTGCAGTTGTATCAATGAATAAAAACTTAATAATCTCAACACAACAATTAACACCTAAATGCTAATTCCAGCACTGAATGAACAAAAAATTTTAATGCTCGAACGTTTTTGGCCATCTTTTAGACTGTTGTGCTAGTTTTTTGTCTTAATAATCTCTTGTAACTAGGAAATACTTGTTATTGCTTAAATTAAAGCCTTATCATAGAAGGGTAAAGATGAGCAAATCAATATCACATTGTAAAAAAATTATGATTTTATGTAATGGTCTGTTAAATTTAGCAACTTCTTTTAATAATTTTGAAAATAATTATTTTCTATATTCAAACCTACGAAGCTATTACTTTAGTCTTCATATTCATAAGACACATTAATCTTATTTGCATATTATTAGCAATCTTCATTTATATATTAAAATGTTATCAAGTTATAACTTTAAATTTTTATAGCTTGGATTTTTCCTTATTTGGTATAATTTGGATATGTTTACAATTAAATATAAATATCAAAACTATTTACAATTACAAATTACTGGAGACAATTTTATAAAGTTTTTATCCTGTTAATAAAATTTCTTAACAGCTAGCAGCCACAATTTAGCCAAATTACATTAATTGTGTATAAAACTCTTGCTGATATCTGACAAAAAAAAAAAATATATATGTAACAACAATCAAAAAACAAAAACTTGTAACTACAAATGTGTAGATTCAAATGCCATCAACATTTAACTAAAAATATGAAAAAACTACCATATTTTTTTTTATTGCTAATAGATTTTCCTAAAATTTTAAAAAACTTATTCAAATTATAACAACAGAACCCAAGAAAAAGAAGAATCAAAACAAACAAACTGTATTGTCAAGAAGTCAAAATATAAAATTTAAATGCATAATGTGGGTATATAAGAATATAAATTACCAAATAACATAATTCAGTAATGTTGATAAATGTGCATGAGCAAATTCAAAAATCTTAAGTGCAAATTTGTGCCTCATAATATATGTAAAGATCTGGAATATATATAAATGCATATGTGTTTGATGGTATGTATGTGTAAATTTAATTATGTAATACAAATCACAAAGCAAAATTAATTATATATATATATGTGTGGTGCTGTCATAATTTATAAAGAACCTTCTTCTAACAATTTATGCATATCTGCAACAATTTTCCCCAATAGTTCTTTATGATTGCTGTCAAGACTGAACACATCATCTAAGACATTTGGATTTGTGAAAAAATTAAATACATGATCTATCCTGTTTAATGATTTCTCAGTGAGATGTCTCACGACAAGTTCTTTTAATAATGATCTACAGTTATTTAGAGATTGTGTGAGGAAATTTTTATCAAATGAAAAATCTACTTCATAAAAACTTATGATTGCCATGGCTGTCGAATGAAATTTCTGTTTAAATCTCTCAGCAGTTTTTATTTCTTCGGAATTAAACTGTCCATTACGATGCAGAACTCCAATTTTCACAACAATCTGTAATGTAATGTAACAAAATTATTGAAAATCACCTTTTTAAATTATATTTTATGTTGGTGATTTTATAATATATAATATATATATATATATAATAATACTAATAATCAACTTACCTTTATTATATTTTNATGTAAGAAAAACTTTTGTTTATAGTGATGGAATGCTTGGAATGTTATGAATAAGAAAGAGTAGGACAAAGTATGTGAATGCAAATTGGAGGAAAGGAGGAAAAAAAAAAAAAAAAAAAATTGACAGATAATATATATCAGAAAAGTTTAAAACTTTCCTATCTAAGAATACTTTCATGAAATATTTTACATTCTGCATTGACTTTAATGAGAAGAAAACCCTAAATAATACAAAAAAATTTAACCAAAAATTGGTTAGAAGAAAAACTATATATAGTAAAAACTCTAATCTCAATTCCCTTAAGTTGAACTGGATCATCAGTTCTACTAATAATCAACTTACCTTTATTATATTTTTAACCACTTTTTCAGCTTCTTTCTTGTTACCACTTTGATTTTTTACCAATCTATATACATTGTCTAGCAAGTTTCCAGATACATCATCGATGAAAACTTTAGCTATATTTTTACTTGCCATTCTACTTAAAAGTTTCTTCTGGGCTATAAACCCGATATCTTTAGATTTGAAATTGTTGTCTGACACTAGAAAGAAATAACAAAGATGCAAGTATAACTAACATGTATAACTAAACATATTTTTAATATTCACTTTAATAAATCAGCTTATTTGTTTGCTATAGTAGGCAATTTTCGTACAAAAATATTCATAATTTAAATTAAGTTTTTCAAAAAATGTAAAAAAAACTTTTAACACATTTTAAAAGTTTTTGTTTTACTAAATCAGATGACAACTAATTATAGGTAACCCCAGTATAGCATGGGAGTTATGTTCCAAAAAATTGCCATACTATGTGAAGCCATGTTATATGAAACAAAGAACTAGTGCAAAAAGGGGGGTTAGGTTCCAAAAATTAAAAAACATGCTGTTAAATCCTTATTTAAATCGGATTTATTATTCATTTTTTTCATAGGTAAAATACTTATTTATTATTTAAGTAAATATTTTACCAGAGGATTATTCATTCTATACGATGATCTCAGCATGAGCATCATCAACTGATAACAGTTTTTGGGCGCGTTCGTTAATAGCGGTTGCTCTGCAACGGGAGTGCACTGCTGTTTGTAGGCATTTAGGAATGATGGTGAAAGAAAGATGGCGGCGCCTGCACTATCAATAGTATCGTGATGGAGGAATCTATAATTCTAAAATGAGCTTTTAGAGGCAAAAGAAGGGTCCCAATTGTAAAATTAAACATTAAATGGATTATCTGTTGAAAGAGCATTCAAAGTAGCAACGAAAACAATTAGAATGCTTGCGCGGAGTTACACGGAGGTATAAAAGAACACACCCTTTATTACATTTCATGTTGTACGATGGTTTTACCCAATTCCCAAACCATGTTAGAGTGAATCCGTGCTATAGAAGTGCCATGTTATACAGGGGTTACCTGTATTGTATTTTTTTTGCCTTATAAGTGCACTATTGCATTGGATGTATCATATTTTCTAAGTGGATTTTTTGCTTCTTAGTAAAAATTACATCCTAAATTTCAGATTAAATTTTAGGTACAAAATAGTGTATCTTTACATTATAAAAAAAAAAAAATATTGCATATTTTGGAATCAAGCAAAATTTCATGCTGTCCCTCTTTTACTTTTTATATATTTACTAAATAACTATTATTCAAAGCTATTTCCATTATTATAAATTACTAGAGTGTAAAAATGTGTGTGATAGGAAACTCTTAATTAGCTCAAGTAAAAATGAGAAATTTTTATAAGATTTCTAGACAATTTTGCAAAACAAATGAAAAAAAAGTCTTGCTAAATGAAGTGTTTCAAATTTTTTTGAACTTAAAAAGCTTCATGTTTGGGAACTCTGGAAAGATTTTATTACCATGGAAGCTGAAGTACAAACAAAAGCAAAAAAATTGAACATCTCAATGGCAAAGATGACGTCACAGCATTACAATAATGTAAAAAAGCTTAATGATAATGGATTTTTTTTTAGAAATTATCATTTCTAAATTGTAATTAATTGGTTTTTTTGCATTAAAGAGTTTTTCCTTGTTTTTAAACAATGGAAATTTAAAAATTGAATATATATACACAGCATATATATATATAGTGTGTGTATGTAGGCAAAATATACACATTTACTTATTTTTAAAGCAGCTATCCTTCCTTAGTTTTTGATATTCTAGATTAAAACATTTATATATTAAAATGTTATCAAGTTATAACTTTAAATTTTTATAGCTTGGATTTTTCCTTATTTGGTATAATTTGGATATGTTTACAATTAAATATAAATATCAAAACTATTTACAATTACAAATTACTGGAGACAATTTTATAAAGTTTTTATCCTGTTAATAAAATTTCTTAACAGCTAGCAGCCACAATTTAGCCAAATTACATTAATTGTGTATAAAACTCTTGCTGATATCTGACAAAAAAAAAATATATATATGTAACAACAATCAAAAAACAAAAACTTGTAACTACAAATGTGTAGATTCAAATGCCATCAACATTTAACTAAAAATATGAAAAAACTACCATATTTTTTTTATTGCTAATAGATTTTCCTAAAATTTTAAAAAACTTATTCAAATTATAACAACAGAACCCAAGAAAAAGAAGAATCAAAACAAACAAACTGTATTGTCAAGAAGTCAAAATATAAAATNAGTAAGAATGTATTTATTATAAATATTTTCAGAAACAAATTTTTTTTGATCTAACAATTAAATATAAAATATTCTATTCATAATTGTATACTTCTAAAATTTTCTTTTCTTTTCTTTCTTTAAAATATTCAATGTTAAAACAGTTTCATTTTATACAGTGGCTATATCTATCACAACATAGTTGTTATTCAAACCCATATGCCAACAGGTCAATATCTACATAAAGAAGTAGAAGTCGTATTTTTTGAGCAGATAAAAAACAAAAAATAAATGGCCAGACAGTATGTAAGAAAAACTTTTGTTTATAGTGATGGAATGCTTGGAATGTTATGAATAAGAAAGAGTAGGACAAAGTATGTGAATGCAAATTGGAGGAAAGGAGAAAGAAAAAAAAAAAAAAATTGACAGATAATATATATCAGAAAAGTTTAAAACTTTCCTATCTAAGAATACTTTCATGAAATATTTTACATTCTGCATTGACTTTAATGAGAAGAAAACCCTAAATAATACAAAAAAATTTAACCAAAAATTGGTTAGAAGAAAAACTATATATAGTAAAAACTCTAATCTCAATTCCCTTAAGTTGAACTGGATCATCAGTTCTAGTGAACATCATATATTATATAACATATTTACAGGGTAAAGAGACTACTCAAATTTTTCTTTTAAATTCTATGACTTTCCCTGACCAACTTTGTACAAATTCCCTGACCCTCACCTCCCTTACAGTACAGCACATTGACAAAATAAAACATCATTTAGCTTACTATGCACATACACTATTGTTTCTCCAACTTTTTAATTCATTATTTTTTTCTGGGAAGACTAAAAAGACTAACAGTTATATATTTTTTTATAATTGCCAAATTATTAAGACTAAAAATAAATTGTTTTATTAAATTAAAATAGTTTATCCTGTTATTAATCCACAACCATAAATCTTCATGGCTTTGAAAAAAAGAAAAAAGTCATTATTTATTTATTATTCATTAACAAATCATATATAATACATGTACAAAAGTATATATTTATGAAATTTATTCCTTAATAAATTTCCTGAACTTTATAAAATATTAACAAACAGGAAAATAGATCAAAAATTGTTTTTTTATGCAATCAAAATTACTAAAATGACAAATAATAACATTTAAATTAAAATTATTTATCATTTTTTGTACTTTGTAAAATTTTGGGGAAATTTTGGATTATGAAAATATTCTGCACACTTTTCATAAGTTATATTGCACCACATTATTTCTTGCTGCCTGCAGACTGCTACACTTAGTCAAAAATATTATCAGCAAAAAACATCAATAAGGCAGCCAAGGAAGCTAATTCTCTGATTTTTTGACAAATTTCCTGACTTTCCATGACTTTTTCTGAACAGTAATGAAAATCCCTGACTCTTCCTAACTTTCCAGGCAAGTAGGAACCTTGTATTTACTACTAATTAAATCAAACAAAATTTCACGTATCTCAATGTGTCCCTTTTTAAGTTGGTCAGCACTCATTGAGTTCAACTGAAACACTTTACTGAAAAATGCATGTTTTGGGCATTGTTTGGTAAAATAGAGTTAATACAGCTGGATAAGCAAGCCAATGACATCAGAGATGTCAATTTATCAGATGATTTGCTAAATCTAGCTTTTCTGTAGTATCATCCAGCAGCTTAAAAGTTATGTTCTCTTCTTGGCAGAAATGTTAATGGTGTTTTGGGCACAGTGGATGAAAAAGGGACATTGTGAGAAAGCTAAAGTTTATTATAGTGTTTTGTTTTTTTAATTTTCATTGGAGAATACTAATGTTCTCATAATTCATATTTATATTTGATGCAGAGTTCATTCACAGCAGCCATGTTGGTGCTTTAGCAGACACAAAGACAACCATAGTAAATTCCATTAATATTTTTAGTAATTTGGCACAAAGTCTTTTACATTAGATGGTTAGCAAATATATATTTATTAAAGTTTTCTGTAGATAATTTATACAATATATTATGAGAAATTTGATATTTGAATAAATTCAATATAGCAGAGGTAATTTTGTAATATATCTAAATTTATGATATTTACAGTCGACTACCCTATAACACGGGTTCCTATATGATGGCAAAAAAATTGCGACGGTATCCGTACAAACATGGTAAAAAACTCCTATAATTCGGTAAAACATCATCGGGCAGCCGAACTACTTCCTGCCGTCCAGCGCCACGCTCGAAGAGTTTAGGCAGGTAAATTGAGTTTACTATCGTCTGTACAGTATTATATATAAATTAGGTACTGTACATATAATTATATATTAATTATATATAAATTAGGTACTGTATATATAATTATATATTAACTTAATTTATTGTAACTTTATTATAATTATATATATACTTTCTGCCGTCCAGCGCCACACTACAGAGAGTTTAGGCGAGTAAGTTGAGTTTACTATCGTCTGTACAGTAAGTAAATTAGGTACTGTAAGTCTAATACAGCACTAATTTTATGCATTTCTTGTGAAAGAAAGATTTCTTATTCTATGGCCATAAAAATTATTTATATTAATGATGTCTCCAAAGTTCAACGAAGTTTTTTCAGAAAAATAACTTATCAGAAATCGCGGCCGCCATTTGGTGCGCTGCTTTGCAATGAAAACAAGCTTAAGCAATGGCGACGTTGAATGGTGCACACTCGGTAAATAATCCTACAATTTTTTGTTTATAGCATAGTTTATACGGATTATTCCCAAAAAAATATAAGTATTTTGGAAATGTTGAGTCGAATTAGTCTAGGAATCGATTAATTTTATGGAAGAAAACCTTTCAAACAGCCATAGTCCTTTACGGACTATGGCTGTTTGAAAGTGCTGGGCTGTGATTGGCAAGGACTCATACAAAAT